CTGTCTCTGTCTGTCTTTGACTGTCTCTGTCTGTCTTTGTCTGTCTCTGTCTGTCTTTGACTGTCTCTGTCTGTCTTTGACTGTCTCTGTCTGTCTTTGTCTGTCTCTGTCTGTCTTTGACTGTCTCTGTCTGTCTTTGTCTGTCTCTGTCTGTCTTTGACTGTCTCTGTCTGTCTCTGGCTGTCTCTGTCTGTCTCTCTCTCTCTGTCTCTGACTGTGTCTGTCTCTGACTGTGTCTGTCTCTGTCTGTGTCTGTCTCTGTCTCTGAAGAACACTGAGCTTCTGTTGGATCTTTCAGATGGTTCAGGATCCCACCCAGTTCGACGTTCTGGTGATGCCCAACCTGTACGGAGACATCCTCAGGTCAGACTATCAACAGCTAACACTTGACTGATGGTGATGATGGTGATGATTATGATGTTGATGACGATGATGGTGATGATGACGATGATGGTGATGATTATGATGTTGATGGTGATGATGGTGATGATGGTGATGATTATGATGTTGATGGTGATGATGGTGATGATGGTGATGATGATGATGTTGATGGTGATGATGGTGATGATGATGATGATGTTGTTGCAGTGATCTGTGTGCTGGTCTGATCGGAGGACTCGGGGTCACTCCCAGCGGGAACATAGGAGCGAACGGAGTCGCCATCTTTGAATCGGTTTGTTTCTCTTTTATTTTTCATTTCATGTCTGAAACAATCGACTTCATTGATCAGTCAGTTTATGATTCACTTATTTAGTTTATGAAATAATTCACCTTCACTGATCTCAGAGCAGCAGGTGTTACAGACAGATAATAAATCTCAGGCAGTGTGACATCACAGAGGCAGACATGTTGGAGGGTTGGTCATGATGATCAATAGAACTGATCAGTTATTAAATAGGAACTGTAAATGTTGTGCTGTTGTTGCAGCTCCTCCTCAGATACCAGATCATAAACTGATACACATCAGTCAAAGCACTGAGTGAGTACGACAGAAATAAAGACGCAGACAGAGGAGCGGCTCATTTCATAAATAATGATGTCATGTTTCTGAACACAAAACGAAATGAGACTGAGATTTGTAGAAGAATTAATCTGACTGACGAAGCACAAATGAATCCTGACAGTTAAAGCTCCAGAGTGTCAGATTTAAAGTGAATCTAATGGTTGTGTTCTCGTGACCTCAGAATGAGCTGTTTATATCTACATAGCAACTCCTCATCTACAGAGGGCGCCATGTTGCACCGCCATGTTTCTATAGCTATATGGCTTTATATGTCTCTATGCCAGCAACAGATGGAGCCATCATCCGTCCCATCTTTGTAAACACAACATTTCATCTGCAGCTTCAGGGAGTTTCATTAATTTGGCTCAAACGTCCACCTGGACTGAAGAACAAACTGATCTGAATTTTGTGACCAAAGGTCAAAGGTCAGTGTGACCTCACAAAACATGTTTTTGTCCATAACTGAAGAATTCATCCACTAATTCTGACCAAACTTGACACAAATGTCTAACAGGATAAAATAATGAAGGTCAAAAGGTCAAAGGTCAGCTTGACTGTGACATCATCATGTTTTAACGTCATATCTCAGGAACAGAAGGGGAGACATTTGGTCAGATACTGAATTGGTGACTCTAATCTTGAAACTGTGCTGATTGTATAGATCTTCTGTGTGTGAAGCATCCATGTTTTCACTGACATGGATGGAGACTGTCAGAGACACTGGACTGGTGGGCGGAGTCATACAACCACAGGGTGGACTGGTGGATCTGTAATCCTCACTGATAAACGACAATAAATCCTCCTAAATTTGACACACTGGAACTTTAAAGTCAAACTTCATTTATTCACCTGTTGGACGAGTTAAAGGAGCCAAAGATATTTTAGTTCACAAACATTAAACTTTGTCCTGACGTGTGTGTGTGTGTGTGTGTGTGTGTGTGTGTGTGTGTGTGTGCGCGTGCGTGTGCGCTACAGGTCCATGGCACCGCCCCTGACATCGCCGGTATGGACATGGCGAACCCCACAGCTCTGCTGCTCAGTGCTGTCATGATGCTGCGTCATATGGGTCTCCATGACTACGGCAACAAGATCCAGACGGCGTGTTTCGACACCATCAGAGACAAGAAGGTGAGACTGAAGCTCACACGCTTTGCACAGTTGGAGCAATCTGCGCTCGCAGCCATTGTGTTGCTTTCAGTGACAGTAAAGTGGGGTCTGACGTAATGAGCAGTTTGAGGCTGTAACCATGGAAACGGTGATGTCTGATGAGGTGTGTTTGTGTCTCAGGTGCTGACGAAGGACCTGGGAGGAAACTCCAAGTGTTCAGAGTTTACAGCTGAAATCTGCCGTCGTGTCCAGGACCTGGAGTGAAGCTGTAGAGGCGGAGCAGCTGTGGGAGTCTCTCTGCTCCTCCCGCCTCCTCCTGCCTCCTCCTGTCTCCTCCTGCTGACTGGTTGTATCTCTGGAGCTGCAGGGACGTGTCAGCGGGGGGGGTTCCTGGGTTCTGTTTTTACATGAAGAAAAGAGTGATATTGTTTTCTTCAGAGGTGTGGAGGGGTGGGGCTACTGCATCGGGGGCGGGGCCTCTTCAGCACCTACCTGGCTAGTTAACATGCTTATACATTCGCAGCAAACATACGCACAGATGTCACATGACCAAGTCTGGATGATACCAGAGTGTGTGTAATATTAATAATGATATCAGTGCTCTGCTCTGTCGTCTGGACACTTTGGATTTTTGTTATTTTTTTAACGGTAACTTATTTATTGTTTCCTGTTACTGTCTCAAGCCGCCGCTCCTCAGGCTCACATATATCAGACCTTATTAAGGAGGACTGAGCTGCTGTCTCTCTGTCGCTCTTCTGTCTCCACACAAACATCAGGCTTCTCATGAACTAACAGCTTTAACACAGTCACTCATTAAAGGGCTTTTCTCAAAGACTCACACTCAGTTTGAAAATTCGTGTTTCTTAAACTGTGAAAATAAATCTGTCACTTGTCACATTTAAGATCAAACAGTGTGTGTAACATGACACAGTACGAGGCGTCACATCCTTCAGCCATCAGACTGCAGCTGTCGAGACAAGGAGACGTTCAGTGTTTGCTGTTGATCACGTGTTTGTTCCAACAGCAAACAGACGTCCAGCTCTGCAGCCTCTAAAGAAACAGCACACTCTCTGAAGTTAAGTGAACACATTGATGTTTGGATGATGTTCACGTACACATGAGCCCAGGTAACAGTTAAATTATGTTTTAGTGTAAATGAGAGTTAAAAGTGTCCGTGGTGATTATTACTGAGTTATTATCATATATACATGTATATGTATATATACACATACATATACATGTATATATGTATATGTATAGATCACAATCTGCTGCTCTTATCAAACAATGAGCCTGAACATAAAGGAGGAAAATCACCTTCCACCTGAGTGTGTCTGAGCAGGAAATGAATCAAACATGTAAAACAAGACCATAATAAACAATATGATAAACAGAAATGGAGGCTGTGGCTCTGGAGGAAGAGCAGGTTCATCCACCAATCAGAAGCTCCTCCAGTCGGCTTGTCCAGTCATCCCTGGACAAGATCCTGAACCCCAAACTGCTCCTGATGTCTGTTCATCAGTGTGTGTGAATGTTTACCTGAGTCTCAGGTGACACCTTGAGCTGCAGCCTCAGACACCTCAGAGCCTTGGAGTGTGAATGAGACGTGTGGTGTGAAAGTGCTTTGAGCTGTCGGAAGACTAGAAAGATGCCACAGGTCCATCTACAAGTCATCGTCTTAAATTAAAGGTCTGATGTTCAACATCTCTGTTTTGTTTGAATCATTCAGTTTGTAACATTTTAATTTATATCATCATGTTTTAACTTGAGCCGCTCAGAGTCTTTAAAAACTTCACTGAAGCAGGAAAGAATCTGATGAACTAGGAGCTCAGCCTCTTCCTCCATCCCTCCCTCAGAGTGACGTCACATGGACACGCCCCCTCTTTCAGGGCTGTGATAAGCTCACAGAGACGACAGGAAACACATAGCCGCGTCACCTGCAAAATAAAAGCTCATGACTTAACTTCAAGTACATGTTATGGCATAATGATGACCATGGTGATGAAGGCGGCGATGATGACAGCAATGATAATGACTACGACCACGATATCGACAATAATGGCTGACAAATAAAATGATGGCAATAATGATGAAGGTGACGACAATGACGCCGGCCATGATGATGACGATGATGACAACAATGACAACGAAGACAAAGACAGCGATGATAATGGTGATTGTGACAACTACGATAATGACGATGATGACAAAGGTGACGATGACAGTAAAGACAATGACATAATGGCAACGACGTTGAAGATGATGATGAAGTCAACAAAGTGACGATGATGATAACAAAGGTGACGATGACGGCACAGATGCAGACAACAATAATGACGATAATGGTGATGATGATGATGAAGATAATAAAGGTGACAAAGATGGCGCTGATGAAGACAATTATGAGAATGATAATGACTACAATGACAGCAGCTACATATTTATACATATATACATACATGTATCTATATATATGTATGCAGTGGTTAGCACTGTCGCCTCACAGCAAGAGGGTTCCTAGTTCACACTCAGGAGGGAGCCTGAGTTTCCTCCAGGTGCTCTGACATGTTCTCCCCGTGTCAGCGTGGGTTTCCTCCAGGTGCTCTGACATGTTCCCCCCATGTCAGCGTGGGTTTCCTCCAGGTGCTCTGACATGTTCTCCCCGTGTCAGCGTGGGTTTCCTCCAGGTGCTCTGACATGTTCTCCCTGTGTCAGCGTGGGTTTCCTCCAGGTGCTCTGACATGTTCTCCCCGTGTCAGCGTGGGTTTCCTCCAGGTGCTCTGACATGTTCTCCCTGTGTCAGCGTGGGTTTCCTCNCAAAGCAGTAATCAGAGCAAAGGGTGGCTATTTTGAAGAAACTAGAATATAAAACATGTTTTCAGTTATTTCACCTTTTTTTGTTAAGTACATAACTCCACATGTGTTCATTCATAGTTTTGATGCCTTCAGTGAGAATCTACAATGTAAATAGTCATGAAAATAAAGAAAACACATTGAATGAGAAGGTGTGTCCAAACTTTTGGCCTGTACTGTATATACATACATTTATATATATATACACATATATGCTTCAAATAAATGTATTATGCTCTTGTGTTGATACAGTCATGTATTAACAGTGTAAAAAAAAAGTACAAAAATACAGTAAAATGTAAATTAACACGTTTGGTATAATTTCTGTTTTCAGCAACATAATTTGTGGCAGTACTTCAGTTTTTAGGTATTTTTAACATCATATAAAATCATTTTCATGATATTGTTATAATATAAAATCATTTTTCTCAATAAATATTAAAACATAATTACAACTGTATTTTTTTTAAGCTGTTTTATTGTGAAAATCTGGCAGCGGAAGTGTGTCGCAGTGTATTGTGGGTAGCTTGGAGAGGGAGTGTTTCCTGCTTCTTCTCGGTCCTGTCCCAGTAGAACCAGTACAGAACCAGTGTTCCCACTGAGCCCAGTCCGCCCAGCAGACAGAGACAGAGTCCGGGCAGGAGGCCGGAAGTTCCCCCGGGACAGACGGAAGGACAGACGGAAGATGGCGAAGACCTACGACTATCTGTTCAAGCTGCTGCTGATCGGTGACAGCGGCGTCGGTAAGACCTGCCTGCTGTTCCGGTTCAGCGAGGACGCCTTCAACACCACCTTCATCTCCACCATCGGTGAGTCTTCATACAGCGCCCGGTAACATCCGGTAACACCCGGTAACATCCGGTACACTGCTGGATAACAGGCCCCGGTAACGGCCAGAGAATAGTTGGTTTTCTGTCAGCTGTTAACGGGACAGAGTGATGTTAGCTGCGGAGCTAACGGAGTTCACCGGGAAAGTGAAAGTGTTCGTCGTCGGAGGAGGAGGAGGAGGAGGAGGAGGAGGGGAGGAGAGGAGAGGAGAGGAGAGGAGAGGAGAAGGAGGAGGAGGAGAGGAGAGGAGAGGAGAGGAGAGGAGAAGGAGGAGAGGAGAGGAGAGGAGAGGAGAGGAGAGGAGGAGATGGTACAGATGTTAGCTTCACCTCAGAGCCATCTCCCCTTTGACCCCAGCGGCCAGATACAGTCAGGACTCACATGTGAACACTGTCAGTAACAAGTTCTCTGTCAGTGGTGGAAAGTAACTGAGTACATTTACTTAGTTACATGTTACAGGTATTACTTTACCTGAGTATTTCCATTTAATGCAGATTCATAGCAAAGACTCTAACTACACAGAACACGTGAGACAAACTACAGACGGGACAAACAACAGACGAGACAAACTACAGACGGGACAAACAGACGGGACAAATGACAGAAGGGACAAACGACAGACGAGACAAACTACAGACGGGACAAACGACAGACGAGGCAAACGACAGACGGGACAAATGACAGACGGGACAAACGACAGACGGGACAAACGACAGACGAGGCAAACGACAGACGGGACAAATGACAGACGGGACAAACTACAGACGGGACAAACTACAGACGAGGCAAACGACAGACGGGACAAATGACAGACGGGACAAACGACAGACGGGACAAACAACAGACAGGACAAACGACAGACGAGGCAAACTACAGACAGGACAAACTATAGACGAGGCAAACTACAGACGGGACAAACGACAGACGAGACAAACAGACGGGACAAATGACAGAAGGGACAAACGACAGACGAGACAAACTGCAGACGGGACAAACTACAGACTATGCAAACGACAGATGGGACAAATGACAGACGGGACAAACGACAGACGGGACAAACTACAGACGAGGCAAACTACAGACGGGACAAACGACAGACGGGACAAACGACAGACGGGACAAACTACAGACGAGGCAAACTACAGACGGGACAAATGACAGACGGGACAAACGACAGACGAGACAAACTACAGAAGGGACAAACGACAGACGGGACAAACGACAGACGGGACAAACTACAGACGAGGCAAATGACAGACGGGACAAACGACAGACGGGACAAATGACAGACGGGACAAACTACAGACGGGACAAACGACAGACGGGACAAACGACAGACAGGACACAACGTCCTACAAACTTGATTTGATAAATTAACAGGTTAAATAACATTTATGATTTTTTTATAAATTTATTTCATGTTAAAAAGTTTTATATCTGTTGACGAGTGCGTTATGACTTGTTTCAGACTCAGGACTTGAAATTCAAAGTTCATGACTCAGGACTAGAGACTAGAGACTAGAGACTAGAGATGGTCCGTCCAGTGGGGAGCTCTGTGTGACAGTAAATATACGCCTGAACAGGAAGTGAGAGTTGGGTCCATCGACAGTGTTTCCAGTCTGATCCAGTCAACACCTTGTGGCAAATTAAAAAGTGACATCATCAGCCTGTGCTGACGGCGTCACGGCACTAAATCCAACTCCTATAGAGTCTGCCAGTGATGATGTTTTTCTGTAGTCCAACCCTGAAGTTAGCGTGGCTCTGGTTCCCTCGTCAAACAGCTGATGGGATTTTTACCATGAAGTGACGGCTTTGTTCGTCAGTGTCTGACGAAAGAAGTCACTGCCAAAGCGCCGGTGTTTGACAACTTTGGAGTGAGACTGGGTTGTTGCCGTTGCCACGTCACACCCAGGCTGTAAAGGCGTGTTTGGTGTGATGACGTTCTGTAGTCTCGTTTAGACACTTGTCAGAGACACATGAACATGCTAACATGCTAACTCATGTCTGGGTTTTAGGACTTGTTCCTGACAGACTGTACTGTGTTAAGGCCTGAACATACTCGGGTGGAACGTACGCGGAACGGACTCCGCGGAGGTCCGCTCGGACTCAAAGCAGACGTCTGCAAGGCCTGTGCGCGCAAAGCTCAGATTTTACGACCGCGCGGACTCCGCTCAGCACACCAGTGACTGCTCGGCATGTATTTTTCACATCGCGGGGATTTTTCACAGACATTTTTACAGGAAACTACAACGCGGAAGTGCACTCGACTATGAAAGCCCGAATGAATGCGGACATTCCTGGCGGAGTCCGTTCAGCATACGTTCCGCCCGAGTATGTTCGGGCCTTTAGACCTGCACCTGTACAGCTCCTCTCTAGTCCTCACACCTGCATTTTACTCTACATGTCACATTCACACACACGTTCACGCACACGTTCACACATACTTTCACACACACGTTCAC